TGAAGAATGGACAGGCCTTTGACCTCACGCGTCTGTAGTCATGTCCACATGGAAGAGTTGGCAGGGATACAAGTCATCATCAGAGGTTCCTGAGCAGACCATTTAGTTTTTCATTAGGTCTGACTTTACATTTTATCTGTCTCTTCCTCTTAGAAGCCTGTCTAGACTCCCAGAATTCCATCATTCCTACCCAGGATGTGTGATGCATTGCAGGGGCCATGTGCTTGTACACAGGTGGCCATATCAGACATTTGTTGTAACATTGAGCGACACAGATCCATCTTTCATGGGATAAGCCATGGCCAGGGAACAGTGATTAACATGTAGGGATATTCCTTCTCCTGGCTGTATTAGCTGGTTGCTTCTTTTAAATGATTGGATTTACATTCTGATAATGAATCCTTTAAAAATGTAATTGTGTGAGGACAGTGGCTAAAGAGTTTTCTTTGGCCTGGGTACACACCAGAAGACTGAAAATTACCGTCTCACTTAGGCAGAGATGTGAGCCTCCTGTAAGCTGACTCTGTGAACTTGGGAGCCTCTGCCTCAGACACTATTTGGGACTTGCTGTAGGGCATGGTTGGGCACAAAGTGATTGAGATGGGAGCAGCATCATTGGTAGGGCATTTATTGGCATCCCAAGTCATTTCTAAGGGCCTGGAATGCTTCTGCAGGAAAGGAAGGTATTAATTATAATTGTTACCCCAGGGAAGAGTGCCTTTTCCACTAAGTCTCAAGACAATTTTGTCGCCAACATATTACATCCCTCTGCATGAGCTTTAATGTTGAGGTTTGTATTATCTTGGAGTTAAAGTATGAATATGCTTTAAGAAATCCTTACTGGTAAAAACCAACCAAACCAACCAACCAACCAGACACAAACCAGTGCATTATAGATGCTTCAAATGGAAGGAGCTTGATCTTTGAATAAAAGTGTCACACCAGCTGGCCAACTATATTGTTGGTGGCCTTCAGGAATTCATCCTGGTGTATGCATGTGTGAGTAATGACTTTACAAGTTCATTTATATTTGGTGTTAGCACAGTGATCTTTCTTGCTTTTTATATTTCTGTGTCCTAGGGTTTTTTTCCCCCCACCGAGGTTGCTCACTACCAGTGGGCTTATAGCAGAGGAAACATACATCATATAATCACCTTGGTAAAATTCTTGCATGCTCATACCAGTCTATGGAGGTAGCTTATATTAACTACTAATGTGCCTAAAGCTAATTAGTTGCTTTCCCATGACCTGTGACCTGCCATGACATATGCTACCTATTAGGATTTGATTGGTTTATGTTAACTCCCAAAACTGGATGATACTTTTGCTCTTTGTGTTGTACAGCTATTTTTTTTCCCCAATAAATGGATTGGCTTCACACTTATCTGAGGTCAAAAGTATAAAAGCTCTTTATTACTATGTTTTCTTTTAAAGATAAGAGATGTGGGTGAAGCAAAATGTCACACCCATGAAACTGCTCCCACTGGTGGTAACTGAGTCAGATAAAGAGAGTCCTATGAAACCAGTCCACAAGCATATTATATACTGGCCGTGCTCTTAACAGATGATGTGGTAGAAGTTCATGCCCCTTGGTTTTTTCTCACTCCTCCTCATGTCTGGGAAAGCCAACAAGCCAAACTTTTATCTGATGGCATCTCTTCTCTTTCAGTGGATGGTGGTCTGTGGGATATGTCATGCCTGTCATTGTCCACAAGAAAAATGATATCAGGCACCTGCCTATGGTTGGGGGGTTCTTTCAGCTGATCCTGGGACAACTGCAATGAAATCCTTGCACCTTGTCTGCCATACTCAGCTGTGCAGCAGCAAATAACAGCCTTGTTGGTTGCACAGACACTCAACAGTATGGCTTTTCTGGACATTGGATCCCTTTCATGCAAACTCTGCTGGTCTTACAGAATGGATATTTTGGTGTTTATATGGGAGGTACCCCAAGGTGGCCCCAGTAGGTGGCTACTAGGATTCTAGAATTTGCCTGAATATTCCCCTCATCAGTCTGAGCTGGTATTTCAATCTTCTTTCTTCCTTCTGCCCATAGCACTTGCCTTCTTCTCCTTCATTCCCATAAGGCAAATGTGAGGACAGCGAAGTCTCACAGTCACAGCCACAGTGACCTCTCTTTATAGATGGCCATCTTCTCCTACAGGAGGTGCTGTCCACTTCTAGACACTTGTTGGCACTGGGATTAGGCTTTATATACAGCCAGGATGGAGTGAGTGCTTCCCATCCAGAGGAAAGAGGAAGAAGAAACAAACCAGCCGCTAGTCTTGAGCCAGGGACCTACTTGATGCTCTATAGAGTCTAGAGAGAAGCCACCCACTTTAGGCTATGGAATGTGATGGCACAGGGTGAGTTTAGTAGTCTTTGGAGGCTCTTTAAAAATGAGACCCAAGTTAGGCACATGATGCCATAAGCATGTATGTACCCTGCATAACTTAAAATGTTACCTTGTTTTTCTGGTACCTAAGCCCAGGCCAGGGTGCTGAATAAACATGCAGGACTGGCTTCTCTGTGTCAGCATTGGGGATACAGGGAGTACCCAGGGCACATAGCAGTGCCATCCTTCCAAACCCCATCAAAATTCATTTTGGGGCAAATATCTATCCATTATTAGTTTCTTGGATTAGAATCAGTCCCAAAGTATAGAGGCCGCGAAAGAAGTTTGGTAGACACACACATTACCTTTGATTTTTTTTTATTTAAAAATTAATAAAGATTTAATGACAAGTATAATAATTTACTCTATACGTAATGCCATGTGTACATCTACATGGGAGGGGACACTGAACGTTTTACTTGGTTTTGTATGAAAGTTTTGACTTCAGTATTTCCAGAAGAAGGGTCATCCTCTGTCACTGGCAATTGTGATTCAGCTATGAAATGAGCTTGAAAATACATTTTGTTTCCTGGTTGGGGAGATGCTTTTTCTTTTGAGGAGGAATTGGTTTCTCTTCAGAGTTTCGCTTCTGACTCTAGAGTGTTTCATCTTTTGATTTGGGGGCCTAGACTGGTTTGAAACAAGTGTGCTCACATTTAGACAGATAGCAGCACTGGAGAGAAAGCTGCTGAACCCTTCTTTCCACTTAACTGAGAACATGGGAATCTTCAAACATACGAAGAGAAAACTGGTTGCCAACGTTTTTATAACATCGGTTAAAAACAGTATAAAAACACGAAAGATGTGTTTGAAGTTTCGTATTCATGAAACAATTGCACTTCCTTCAGGTACAGGATCAGCTTGGTCAGGGCTCTCCTCCAGTAGTCCTGTTCACTGCTCTTCTATGGATTCAAATTCTTATAGAGTACCTCCATTAGAGCCATGTATTTGCGTGTGTGTGTGTGTGTGTGTGTGTGTGTGTGTGTGTGTGTGTGTATGTGTGAGTGTGTGCAGATGCGTGCACAGGAGCATGTGTGTATCCATTTTCAGTTAAGCATACCTCTGTCCTGTGGTTTGCGTAATCCTTAAGTGTAGTCATACAAAATATTCTTTTCGCTATCTTTTTTTTTTTTTTCTTTTTAAGACCTGGACCAGATGACTTTGCTAGATCCTTGTATAACCCAACTGTTGAGAACTAAATGGAACTGCTGAATCCAGAGGAAAAGCATGGTGAATCATAGCTCCTACTCCTCAAAAGAAGGACATGACCCTCTCCCAAAGCTGGGTTGCTACTCTCAGTATGCAGTTCCACTGAAAGTGCTGGACAGACACTGGAGACTAGGTTTTTCTGATATGCTCACAAACTACTCAGAATTTTAAGTTATACAAAAAAAAAGGATAGAAAATAAAAGGCAAAAGAAGATCCCTACTTCCTACATAGGAAACAGAACACTGAGAGAAGTTATTAATGCACAGGAGGATTTTGGTTTCTATAAAAAAGATATTTGTAAAGGTGCAAAGAAATGAGTGAAAAATAAAGGAGCAGAGGTTTACATTGTCATGTGTGATCAAGAGAGAACTCTTGAGTGTGATGGCAGATTTTAAAAAAAATGCCTAAAAACATTTGATTCACAGCTTTTCCCTAAGTTTGCCACTTAATACAATTTACAGGTAGGTTAAATGTAGGCGATGGTAGGTTTGGCCATTGGTAGCAGCTAAGGGAAACCCACTGTTTCTCTCTGAGATGGTCAGATCTCGCACAGTAGTGACAAAGCATACGAAACTGTATAAAACACCTGGCTGCATTCAGGGCTGAAGAGCATCTCCGGGGATTGAGACACAAACAAAACAAAACAAAAAAAAATCACTTTCTGCTTCAGCCCAGGCACCCGTGATTTACAGGTAACTATATTACCCGTTGTGTATCTTTTTCTGTTTTCAAATTCTTACCAGATTCACCGTTTGGCCTTTGGGTACCCAAAGATTAAAAGCAAGATCCAGGAAAGCTTACTGTCCAATAGCTCTGACCCTGTCAGCTTCAATGATTGAAGGCATATTATGACTTGGGGTGGGGGCGGGGTGGTTCCTGGCTGCTGGCCATTTGGAAAATGAGCAGTAAACATGTCGTCCATCTGGAGATGAAGAGGGTGCTAAATCTGTGGTGTCAATGTGACACTGAAGATGTGGTCACTTGGCTTAGCGCTACAGCACACGAAGGCAGATATACATAGAGTCACATTTTCGAGATTATTTATGGTCTCCGACCACTTGAAAAAAATTGTGCTTTCTCCGGAATTTAATGTGCTGAAAACTGCACTCCCCGCCCCTCTGCTTATTTGCAAAATGAAAGATAAAATGAAGTCCTCTGCCAATACAAGGCTTGCTTTCTCTTCTCATTAAAAAAAAAAAATAATAATAATAATAATAATAAAGGGCCAAAAATAATGAAAAGTTCCACTGCCTACAGAGGGACAGCCTGCCCTATGGAACGCTGATAACTCAATACTCATTCATAGATGGGCCGGCTGCCGGGGGTTAGAGGTTTTCCTTATCTTTGACTATGTAAGTTTTATTTCAGACTCTTCACCCCACACCAGTGCACTACAAAGGACAGCTGGCAAGGGGTGACAGTCACTCCCTTGCTGCTAATTATCTGTTGGTGCGAAGGCCTTTTTGGTACGCAGGGCGAGAAGCAGGGAGCACGTGTTGGCACTGCAGTTCCCTTGATCCTATCCAGTTTGGGAAAGGACTGACTTAAATTCCAGTGGGTTTGCAAGATGGCCTGGGTACTCCCAAGCCCCGAGTCTTAAAGAAACCAGAGTTTCCACCTTCCGTGCTTTTTGGACTCAGTTTTGGATTTTTGCTTGGGCGTGGAGGAGTAAGTCTCCTGAGTGTAAGGCGAAGGGATGACCTGAGTTTCCTCGACAGGGTGCAGTTTTCTCAGCACAGGTTGGAGTTTGTCTTCCTGTTGCTTAAAGTCCAGCTCCACACTAGAAAGACAGAACAGAGAGTTTAGTGTGTGACCCTAGACATCTGGGGATCTCCCATCAGGGTTATATTCATTCATACTCTATGTTTAGTAATAAACAGTTGACTAGATCATATTTTTTACTGTTGAGCACTATGATCTATTCCAAATTCACTCATTTCACTTTGGAAAATAACTTACTTTCACAGGCAGGCCTTTAAAGTTCTAAAATACACCCTGGGGTCAGGGTGATGGCTCAGTGAGCAAAGGGCTTGCCATGTGAGCCTGAATTCAACCCTGAACTCCACTTAAGACCCACATGCGGTGGCTTATGTCGGTAAGTCCAGTGCTGAGGTCAGAGTTCAGGCAGATCCCCTGAGCTCATTGGCCAGCTAGCCTAGCAATCAGTAAGCTCCAGGTTCGGAGAGAAACCCTTCCTCAAAAAATAAGATAGAGATTTACCAGGGGCTGCTCTTAAAGCTGATTCTCCTTCTCCTGGCAGCTATCATTTGCCAGTAACTCACCAGTTATCGGGAGGACTTTGTACCCACCTGTCTTGTCCATGCTGGGATTTTTGTTTGGCTTAAGATTACACAAGGATTGTACATGTTTTCTCAATGTCTATAGGTTTATATATGCACCTGCCCCCTTGAGCAAGGAGAAGGCTGTTTCCTTCCTCTTATCCTCCTTCTGACCCCTCTTCCTCAGTGACCCCTGAGCCTTGAGAGGGAGAATAAATGGGCAGAATCCCATTTATTCTCCAAGAACATCCAAGAATAAATGGGCAGCACAGATTGGTTTTGATGGGTAGGAAAAAAAGTAAAAGGACACAAAGTTGGGTTTCGGAACCCAACTAAGAGGAATCAGTGTAGGGGATGAATATGATAAAAACATAGTATTTAAAATCTCAAAGTATTAATAAAGTGAAATTTAAAATAAAATGAAGAGCAATAGGGGAAGATGTGTGACTCAACCTCTGGCTTCCACATCCGTGCACAGATGCACAGGACCACAAGTACAAGAATTTAAATAAAAGCCTATCATATATCTGTTGCCACAGAAAATAGGAAAGGCAGATTCATCACCCTATTTATCCTGAAGTGTACACGTGCACATCAGGGAATTGGCCAGCCAGCAAACAGGGAAAGAGGCAGAAGTTGTAACACACACGCACACACACGCACATGCATGTAATATATACTTGCAGTGTATCAATCAGTGTACTTCTATGCAACCGCCACTAGTCAGAGGAGCCTGCCATTTGAAAGCGCCAGGAACCGAGTGACTTTGGCTTGCCTTCTTACAAAATTGTACTTGTCTCAAACATTCTTGTGGACTACAGCTAGGAGAGGACCCCGGGAAATGTCTCTTGTGTTTATCACCTCTGCACTACTGAAAGGTTTTGGTTGTTATCAAACACAGCTTCCCAGGACACAGCATAGATAGCATTTGGTCAAAACAATACAAGATTGTAATTACCCCGTGGGAGCAGGAGTGTGCAAGGATGTTTGTGCTAGAAAGATAAGATTGAAGATGTGTTTCAAAACATACACGGCTACTTCGGAAGATTCTGGGAGGAATGCTGTCAGTGTAGTGGAGTTGTTCCTTAGCAGTGATGGTCTGCTAGAAACCGGTCCTCATGGAGCCCCTGGCCTGCCTGGCTTTCTGTGATGATATGGCACTGGGGAGCTTTTCTTCCCATCCCTTGCTTTTTGTATCATGTGATTTGGACTAGAGCTCTGGAGTCTTCTACCCTGTCCTCTTATCTTGTCTAGATACCAGACTAGATTTCAGTGAATGTTCATAACATTCTATAGCCAGAGGGACCATGAAGCATCTATAAACATGAAATCCCATCCATTTAGAGAACTATTAATCCCAGCCAAATTCTGACATTTTAAAAACACAAAGCAGCAAAGCCGTATTATCTGGAGACTTAAAAATAAGTTCAAACCCTATCCAATGGACCAGTTTATGATTTCTAAATCACACACACCGTATTTCTTATTGTTTAAAGGCTGTAATATCACTGAGGTTTTTTTTTTATTTCAAGAAACATTAATGTGTGTTCTTTTTTTTCCACAAGAAGCCTTCCTCCTTTCCAGTTATTTTAAAGAACATTGTGTGTGTGTGTGTGTGTGTGTGTGTGTGTGTGTGTATGTGTGTGATGTGTGTGGATGGCACAGCATGTGTAGAAGTCAGAGGCCACCTCTCAGAAATCTGTTCCAGGAAGTAGAATTGATGCTCATGAGCACAAGTGTCACTTATCTAGAATGTGTGGTAGTGGAGGCAAGGAGGCAACTGTGCAAACCTTAGGATGTTCTGAGCCTGTGACATTCCAGCCTGTCTGGGCTGTGGTATCTGTGGTAGGAGATCCTGTCCTGGTGCAGGAGCTTGGGGCACAGGGATGAGGTCATTCCCTTCTCATCAGTGAGCTTTCATTTACTCTAGTTCAAGGAGAGGTACTGGCTGTTTTACCAAATTCTCAAACATACAAGTCTATGAAAGACCTCTTCACTATTAGTGAATAGTTCCAGTATTAATTTGTTCTTACCCTTATGTTTTGACTGCAGATTTTACAGGTGAGTCTGATGCTGATAAAGAAAAGTATTAGAGAATCCTCAGCCTGGATGTTTAGGCAACAAGATTTTGGGGAATCTGTGCGATGTGACATTTAGTTAAGCTACTACTGAAACATGTATTCTATGTCAAGGCCATGTTAAGTCCATGTCATTTGTCCAAGGTAGCTTTTTAGTTGTTAGAACAGAGCATGTGGCTAGCAGTTCCTAGACTAACATCCAATCCCGGGCACCTGTAATTATTGAATTTCCCATTAAGCAACTATACTGGGAATCCTGTCATTAACCAATTTATCACACCGAGGAACCATGTAATCACAGTGTAATCTAATCTGAGTTCTTGTTAACGAAATGACTCGACTTTATCTGTTGAGCAGAGTCCTTTGTGCTCATCCAGTATGCTGCAGCCTAGAGCAGGTTTGATAGGAGAGACCTACTAAACCTGTGAGTACGTACTGGGTAATGCCTGCAGTAGGCCTCATTGACACATTGACCACAAGCCCTGCCTCTCCTCACTGCCTGCTCTGTGTTGTCCTCCCTGCAGTGGATCTGTCTGGGCGTGATATGCATGCCTCAGCCAGCCACACTCCGGACAGGTGAACCTCGGCTCTTAAGTAGCACAAAAGGGTATTTTTTTCTTTTGCCCTCTGCTGTCTGCTAGCAGTTTCTTGTTGTCAAGGAGCACACTGGGTTATTTGGCGTCTGAAGTAGATGGCTCACTGAGTAGGACAGTATTACAAGGTTAAGAATCTGGTTCTCTCTGACTGACTTAGAGCAAAGGTTTCTGTGATGTTAATGGCCAAGTGGCCTCTGCTAGGAACAGAGGTCCTGGATGTTGTGGAACTCTACAGCTGTGTAGTCTCCAGTCCTTCCTTTCTGAAGACAACCAATTAGCCAGATAGAATTTAGGCAGGCCTGCCAAGCCCATGTTTTGATCTTGCCTATGGGATGATGAACCTGCATCTGCTCGTATGTGTAATTTGATGGCTGTGTAATCATCTTTTTTCCTTGCATCCTTCCTTGTGGCTATTCATTTACCCACCTGGGGTGCTCTGTCTGACTCATAGCATAGAAGGTCACACTCTATCTCCCCACTCCATCCCAGTTTCACACAATCTCTGCAACCTGACCACAAATCCTTGTCTTCCATATTTGAGTTCCTTCATTGCATTGCATAGAGTGTGGAGGATTCTGTGTCTGCTTTGGTGCTGAGAACTGGCCAGAGTTTTCTGGATAAGTTTTCTGGCATCAGAGAAAAGACTGCATCTTGTACTGAATGGAAGGGAAACATCTCAGTCTCTGCATTTATAGCTATTGCCAAAGGCATATTATTGAGCCCCTCTAATGCTTTCCTTTCCTTGTTTGCACCTCCATTCTTGTTCTAGAAATGTAAAACAATGACTCCCATTAGGAATTCCCAGTGGGCAGAAGCCCTGTCTGCAAATGTTGCAAAGCCTTGGCCACACTCGTCTATGGCCCCTGGTGGTTCATGATTAAAGATGCAAAGACATTTCTTTTTTTTTTTTTTTTTTGCTCGATTATTTTCTCTTAAAGAAAATAAGTTCAGTTGTGAGAGCTTATAAAAATCGCTGTTCTATGTTTCTTATATATGTGTGCATGCATTGATGTATGTAAACACGCTCTTATGCATGTCTCTATGTATATGTGGAGGCCTGAGATCAACCTACCATTACTCATGTGCCATCTGCCTTGTGTTTTGTTTTTGCTTTTTGTTTGTTTGTTTGTTTGTTTTGAGACAATCTCTTACTGGTCTGGAATTTTCCAATTAAGGCTAGGCTGACTTACTTGCGAGCTCCAAGGATCTGCCCATTTCCCCAGTGCTGGGATTTTAAGTATTTGCAGGATGCCTGTTTGTTTGTTTGTTTGTTTGTTTGTTTGTTTTTTAAATGTGTCCTTTTCAGTTGGGTGCAGGTCCCCATGCTCGCAAGGTAAACTCTTTATCAACTCAGCCGTCTCTCAAGCACAATCTGTGTCTTCCTAAAGAAGTGAAATGTGCCCATCTTTAAATCTCAGGCTGTTCTCTCAGTCCATACCCAGGCATCGTTTTCTTCCTGGGTATGGCAGTAAGTTTCTTACTAATGCTCCTTCTCACCACTTCATGGGATGCTGCAGTGCTTCTCTGTTCCTATGAAGTTCCTGCAAAGCTTAGATTCTGCCACTTGATGTCTATACCTCAGCTTAAAGGAGTGCCTCACCTGAAGTCTTTTTCTGCTTCTCACTCTGAAGCAGGAAAGAGTTAAAAGCAGGTGAGTGTGGCTCCCAAGCTCTTGCTTGTTTTCTGAAGTGGAAACCCCCACACCTTTGATTTCTCCTGCCTGCCAATGCCCCATGGCTCCTTGAGCTTCAGATCCCTTGCCTCTGTTTTTAATTCTCTTTGAGTTAGATCACAGAGTCCCCGGTGCTAACTGTGACTCTGCGAGTC